TATAGCCGACCTGGTAATCATTTGCGCAGACACACAACGAGCATAACAAAGTCCCCCGCCAAATTAGTTCCCACACAAATTTCCGGCAGTGCTTCTAAGAATTCCAAGTATAGACGTTTTAAATATTTAAATAAATACGCTTGTTGGCTTATATCGTGGTGTTATACAATAGCTAGACGATTATAACAAAAACAATTCACACATGCGAAGCAAAGCTAATTAATTTTCATAAATAATCGCTTCACTTCAACATGAGAAAAGAAGCGTTAAAAACGCGCAGAAAACGCTTGGGAAACGCGCGTAAATTTGGAGGGGGCTGTGTCAACCTTTAGTTACCGAAACTCCTCCCTGATCCATAGGTTTCTGGGAATAGTACCTTGCCCAAAATGCTTAGAATTGGGCACAAAGTGGAGTCACTGGTGGCGCCGTCGCAGTCGCGTCGCTGCCTGGGAACCAGTTTTGAGCTTGTGGCAACAACAGTTGGGCGCAGACGCACCAACAGATACATATACAACAGCCCTTGACAGAAGACCCGTTCAGCAAAGTAGCACAAAGCAATGAACTGTTGAAAAAAAAGAAAACAAAAAATGAATGCCTGAGAATGTTTTCCGGTGCCCGGAACAGTCTCAGCAAACACAGTCAGAAGAGAATAGTCAAAAACTGTCTAAACAACTGGCTTGCAGCATTGTGGGCGTTGCACCGTGGAAAGCTAACACTGAATCATGCAACTCTCAAAAGTTGCATACAATTGTGTTGCAACTGATGCCTTGGCGTTCTTTGGGGAAACCTGCATTCCACAACTCAAGTTCAAAATGTGAAATTTAATTCGACAGCAACCAAAAAAATTGCATCAATAAAAATGCTGCCTGAGGCGTGATAGACTTGAATATATCCTTTACTTAGAGAAGTGGCAATATAGCAATATAAAATAAACTATATCAATATAAATAAATACATATCTTGTTTTTTATTAATAAAAGTACAAATAAACCAAATTTTAAATGTAACCCATTTGCATTGTTACATACTGGTTCTTTTCAGGAATAATTTCAGTCAGTAGTGAATTCTGATCCATAAAGTCCTATGCATCAACAAAAAATTAAATGCACAATTAGCAAAGCATTTGATACTGTTGTAAATTCCAAAGTTGACTTTATTTAAAGCTCCAATTTACAAAATGGTTTAGTATAGCCCACGTTGCGCTGTATTCAAGTTAAGATTTGTCAAGACACAGATTTGTTAAGCGAACATCTTTTTTATGGCAATTAGTGTTAAGTAACATGTATCAAATATCAACTGTAAAGAATTCTCTTTTGAATGCGATAAAAAATGTGAAAAAATATCTTTTTAGTGTCTTTGATTAACGTGCTTTATAATTTTTTTGACACAAGTGCTTATCATCTCAGTTGAGAGTATTATAATTTTGTCGTGGTGTTTGACGGACCTTCCATACATCGGAGACAAACTTACTTAATATAAGTAATATTATGCTCTTAAGACTTGCAAAAATGCGTTCAACATCTGACTACCATAGCATATAGTTTTCATATGAACAATCAGTTGGATTATTAAATTGCTGGTGAAATTTAGATGGGCAATTTGATTCCGGTCTAAAGAAGTATGTAATATTCGCCATGACTAAGACAGCCGTTCTTCCTTGTTTTTAAAGCTTTAATTTGATGGACTCTCTCAGCATATATCAAAATGACCCAACGCAATATGCAGCCAACGAGAGACATAGTAGCTTTTGTACATATCTAGGAGCAATATGATATAATATGTGATATCAGTTAATATTTGTTGGGTTTCTGTTCCACAGTGCGGATGTGATTGTTTCAACCTCATCTGCCATGAGTCAAACTCAATGTTAGCTGTTGTGGCCGCTTCGCTGCGTATGCAAATAGCGACAGATAAAACGCAGCTACGTGATGCCTCTGATAAAAACAATGACAACAACCACAATTGCAACAACAACAAATCTCAACAACAACAATTCAACGACGCCCACAATTTAAACATTTGTTTGTTACTAAAAGCGAAAGCAGCTGGGCTACGTTTCCATTATGTCCGAGTATATTGTATTATTTACATTTTTTCATTTTTGTTTTAACAGTTTTTACGGTTTGTGGTCTTCTCAAGGCGCTTGAAAATCGATGCACCCGCTAAAGACTAAACGTTGAAAACTGAAAACTGGCAACGCTGCACATGCTAAATGGCCCTTCATTTTACCTTAAACTCTTAACAGGGCTAAACAAGAAGGCTATTCTTTTAAAGTGGCTTACTAAGGTGGCTTACACACTGCTTATAAAATTATATTATTGATTATTAACTATAACAACTAATGTTTGATAAGTAGTCGTTGACATAATCAATCACATAATGCATATTCTTCATCAGTTATCTGATAATACAAATTTAAATTCTCTTTATTACAAAGTATAGTAAAAGGACTAAAACAAACAGAAGATGACATCTGTAATCCTATTTAATAATTAAATATTTTCATTGATCAAAACTTCGACTTTACTTATGATATTGTCAACAAAATGATGTAATCAATATAACATTATTTATTACTTATTTAATTAACAATCTTTCAACTTAAAAAAAAGTGAATATTGATTTTAGACGTAATATTTTTATACAGTTTAAATCATATGAAAAGCATAGGTCCTAATCAATCCTTTAATTTAGACAAGAATTAATAAAGTTGTTTTAAAATCGCACCCTCTGTAATAATGTCAATTTGCAAATTAATTCGAACACTCAACGAGCTGAAGGTCTAAGATGCTATAGCGCTTTAATCCGAAAGTTTAGACTATAAGTTGACTTTATATAACATAAAAAGAGTAATATAAACTCGAGCTGGGGCCACAGTTCCACAGTTCCATTAAATAATGGTCGAGCGAGGGTTTGAGTTCAGTTCAGGGTCCAAATCAGTTTTAGATCGTTTGTAGTTATATTTACATTGTATGTAAGTGCATGAAATAAAATAAAGGAAGAATAAAAAAAGCTAACGAGTTGCACTAATGGACAGCGTCATGCAATGGCAAACCAACGGGTGCGTAGGCTGCGGCAACGGCTACGGCTCCAGCGGTTACGGCCGATTGCACTTTAACACTTGACCAGACCAGACCAGGGACAGTGGACAGTGCACAGTGAACAGGGGACGGGCAGACGGGTGTGTCACACCCGCCAATGTCCGCGGCGGTTGCGCGGGGTCACGTGTTGTTAACGTTAACAGCGCGCGCAGGTAGCACAGGTAATTTTCTGCTGTGATATCTGTGTGTGTGTGTGTGTGTTTGTATTTTTACCTGCGCTGCGATTTTTTCTTTTGAAAATAATGTATAATTTCACTTTGGGATGCATTTCAATGGAAAAGCGACTTTGATGATCGACGAGACGACGTTAGCTGTTACTTTTATAATGAGGCTGAAAAACCAGTTGTGGCTGTTTGTTGTATGAGTGCTGCTTTCCCTCCTCACCATCCTCCTCCTCCACTCTTCATCACAGCAAGGGCTTTTCCCAAGTGCAACTGTTACAACAACACCAACGCCAACAGCAACAACAACAACTGAAATAGACAAAGTTTGGCCTCCAGCGTTAGGTGGTTTATCAAATTACCAAACGTCTCTGTTTCTGGTTGTTGCTTGTTGTTGTTGTTGTTTGTTGTTGTTGTTTTTGCTGACGTTGCCAGTTGCCGGCTAAGAGTACTTTACTTTCCGGCCCGATAAGATACAAATTATGTGTACATAAATATACATTTATGTACATATTGTAAAAAAATTAACGAATTTTTTTTTTGAGGTCGCTGTTTTGCACAATCGGCGACAACGATGAGCAAACAGTTAAGAAATGCAAACAGTTAGTTACACCAGCCAACTTTATATGTGGAGACTGGCTGAGCAGAGTAGCTCAGGTCGTGGCACTCCTAACGACTGAGGAGCGAGAAATGCAGCGAGAAGGCCATTAAGGTATCCACTTTCAAGATGACAGCTGTCTGTTTCTTTGACAGATAAGCATTGGAATCCCCGAAGAAAATCATTTCAATTATCAATGCGTCAGTTTTAAAGATTTATTGTCTTGAACTTCAGCTGCACTTCAAAGACCTGAGCGACTATTTGTTTTTCCAATTTTTGAGTAAGCAACATTGAAATATCGGTTTATTGACTTTTCAATAGATTAGGTGTTAAGTATTACAAAAGCATTTCACATAATCAATCAAGAATTGCTTAAAAGATTTAAAATTTAATTTAATCCATTAAGAAGTGTAGAAAATAAATACAAATTCATTTTTAACAAGTCATGTTTTACTTGTGCCATAATATAAAATCTTGGTGCCAATTAAACAAATATCACCTGATTTTTTAAATTAAATCAAATATGATTTGCAGTCTAAACGACTATACGATAAGAAAAATTGTTTGCTGGACACAAACACATTTTTATGGCCCTCAACCTCAACGAGGATGTGCAATTGTAAACACGATAAGAGCATTTGTATTAATAGCTCCATTTAATCGATCCGAAAATGACTCTATAATCGACAAATGCTGTTTGACTGCAGCAGGCCAATTATTAATCAGTGATGAGGTATTTATTTTTCAAGTGAATCATCGAAATGTTGCCATTTAAACCCTTTCAGCGACCTCTTTTAACATGTCGCCACATGTCGGTTTGAAAACAAGCCGAAGCGAAAAGAAGAAAAATAACAAAATGCTCTCTTCAACTTCCAATGCACTCGAACAAAAAATGTAAGTGGCTCAGCAGAAAATTGGAGCCCACGTTGGTGTCATATACATAAATCGTGTTTATGAGTGTTGTTGTCGCTCCAATTGAACAGCGACGCTTTCTTTGCAAAACAAACATACTCTTTCTCTATCTCTCTCTCTCTCGCGTGTCCTGACCATTCAATTGAGCCACTCTCTTGCGTGAACTATCACTCTCTTAGGACCTAAGCGTGTGCAGGAGAGCACACACACATACACATACACACTCACCTGTTGCTAAATAAATTAAAATGAAGAGAAATATCCATTGGGGCGCTGAAATGGCGCGCTTGAGCAGCGGCGTCAGCGTCGACGTCAGTTGAGCTGCGTTTTTCGTGCGCGCACGGCTCAGTCGTTGTTGCTGTCTCTGCTGATTTGTTGTTTGTTGTTGTTGTTGTTGTTGTTGCTGCTGCTGCTGCTGTTGTTGTGTGACGTGCGTTGCTGACGCATAGGCAGTGGCAGTCATAGCCATGATCGTTCTATTCGTATTGAAGTTTATTTTTTTAAATTATATTCTCTTTTTTCTCTGTATTTTAAGTGAGGTTCAGATAAATCGCAGTGCACACATTGAGCATTAGTTTCCTTTCGTTGGGTTTTTTGTTTATTGCCTTCTTCTGCTCTCTTTTGTTTTTTGTATGCAGGTATAAGTAGATGTGTGTGTGTAACTTGCACTTGGCGTCTAGAACAGGTTTTAGTTTTCAGCGAAATAAAAAAAATTATGCGGTTGCCGTTTCTGTTGCTGCTTTTATTTCAACACTTTCGCACGCGACACTTTCTAGCTTGAATTTGAATATTGAGCACACGGCAAATACTCACAGCTAGTGTTGGCCATTATAATTTGATTTGTTTGCGTATATTCGCCAAAAGAACCACGCACACACTCACTAATTTACACACACATAGACAAACACACACGCACACATTGAGAGGTGAGCGAGTTTGCTTAAATGCTTGCTAGTTGGTTATTGTGTTTCTACTTTTGGTGCTGCTTCTCGGTGTCTGCCCTTTTGAACTGCAAGCAGCATTGTCTGCTCCACCACCAATACAGGGGCGCTGGCTTGCATTGGCTAACACTGACAGACACTAATACCTGTGCAGCCCTAGCATAGAATTACAAAACAAAAACAATTTCCGGCGTCCGCCGCAACAATCAAATACGTCCAACACGGCCGAGAACAAAATGCGAACTGAATTGCGCGCTCGTCGTCATGTTGAAGGCAGACTTTCAGTCCGCCGTGCGCTCGAGCTCTCGCATTCAGAGCTAGATGTTAGTGTGTGTGAGAGAGACAAATGATATGATTAGCGGGCAGGTGGGGTTGGGTGTGTGAGCACAACAGGTAGCCATGGGAAATCTGAAGTGATCGATTTATAATCTCAGAAAACAATCGAAAGCTATCGAAATGTTGGCTTTCAATGATCCATTTTTTACAAATATTATTTATATGGTTTTGTTAAAATATTTTAAATTACAGCCAAGAAAATATTGATGTGCAATATTGAAAATATGTGCTTTCCCATGATTTTATTTTTGACATTCGCATGGCGCCAAAAGACGTTGGTATCGATATTACTCGACATTAGCTTTTGGATAAAAAATGTAACAAATATAAAATAGTTTAAAACTAAATTTGGTATTTAATTATTAAGCATTTCACAACTAAAATTAAACTTTACTCAATTGAGCAGATTTCAATAAATACCAATAAATTCCCCGATCATTTCACAACACTTGTTGTGTTGATCAAAACAAAGACCGAAAACCGTTACGTGAAAACGTAAAACTTTAAATCGTAATTTTATCAATGCTTTGGCGATTTGGTGTTGCATTTGCCACAAATATGAACATTAGCATAAAATGTGCTACACAAAATAGGCTCATAAATCACGGCACACGTGGATACGCAGTCCTACGAAATGCAAATGAATGCCGGCGATAAATTGCGCTTAAATACCGTCACCTAAATACGCTTATCAGCATAAAATAAAAACAAAACTGCTACCGCCAAGTCGGCAAATATCATTTGAAGGTGTGGCTAAGAGGAGCGTGCTGTAAGTATATAAAGTCGACTGCTCAATTATAACCAAAACACTCAGCGAAGACAGCAACATGGCAAAGTTGCAACAAATCTTGACGTTTGGATTGCTCCTTGTTAGCATACGATTCCTGGAGGCACAGGAGGCGGAGGAAGATGACCTGATTGATCTGTCTGAAATGGGCGACGCCATTTTTGGCACACCGGACAATGAAACGACAGGAGCACTGGTGGACGCATACGACGCACAATCGGAGCAGAATCCCGAGGAACTGGGCACTTACCACGAGGGAGACATTCTAATACCACTCAATTATCGTGACGCTCGTACGGATGACACACGGAATGGCCTGCTGGCGCTGAGCACACGCTGGCCCGGCGGTGTGGTGCCCTACGATATCAGGGGAACATTCGCTAGCCAGGAGCTGGGTGTCATTCAGCATGCTTTCAATGAGTACCACCTAAAGACGTGTGTCCGTTTCAAGCCGCGCACCACCGAAAGGGATTACATATCGATTGTGAATGGCAAGTCGGGTTGCTGGAGCTCCATTGGACGATTAGGTGGTCGCCAGGAGGTCAATCTGCAGTCACCGAATTGCCTGCGCACCTATGGAACGCCCATCCACGAACTGATGCATGCGCTGGGCTTCCTCCACGAGCAGAATCGTCACGAACGGGATGGCTATGTCCAGGTGCTCAGCGACAATGTGAAGCCCACAATGATGGCCAACTTTGAGAAGGCCAGCCCCAAGACACACTGGGGCTTCGGTGTGGAGTATGACTATGCCAGTGTGATGCACTATTCGCCCACCAGTTTCACCCGGAACGGACAACCCACTCTCCGGGCATTGCGCAGCAGTTCCGATGCACACCTGATGGGTCAGCGTCGTGGCTTCTCGGCGGGCGATCTGCGCAAGATCAATGCCATGTACAAATGCAAGGTGTAAATTCATTGATTTATTAACAAAAACGAAATACAATTCTATATAACAATCGCAATGCGGCGTTTTTTTGTTTTATTTCCTCTCAGTGATGCGGCAGATTCTTGTTCGTGTCGAAGAAAACGTTGCCCTTCATGTGCAGCTCCTTGCAGAGCGTCGAGAAACGCCTGATGGCGTTGTAGGTGCCGTTGCCACTAGCCGCATCTTGTCATGCACGAAAACACACACACAAAATTATATTTTATATATATATAAACGTGTTTTCTATTTTCTATGCGTAGCAGCATGCAGGGTTAGTTGTATATTTTCTAGTATATTTTGTTTTGTTGCATATCTCTTGGATTAAGTGTCAAGTGTTGCTCCCGCGCAGCAGCAGCTTCGAGTTTTGTTAATGGGGCCGCGCTTTGCACAGTAGCTTCACCTTACCTGTGCCGGCGGCGGCGCCATCAGCAGTGCTGCCGCACAGCTCCAGATTCATGTAGAGCGCCATGTTGCCCGTCGATCCGTTGTACGACCGATTGTTGAGAAAGTCCCGTATGTGCTGCACAATTAGGTCGATGGCCACTGAAAGAGCAAAACACATATCGATATACATCTCATTTATCGTCATCGAGTTCATTGTGGCGCATCTAGCGATATATCTATTATTTCAAATAATATTGAACGTAGCAACTCAACAAATGAAGCGCTGAAAGTGTTTTTTTTTTGCGTTTCGCCCACTTACCTTGTGGCACAGTTGCTGCTGGAAACCTTTATGAAACTGAACAATACTCACTTGATATAACGAACAGGTTAATGCCACTTCCGGCACTTAGGATATCAACTTTGGATCACATCCTGTTGCTGCTGAAGCTGAAGAAGCTTTGGGCGGCATTTGTTGATTTCACTTTGGTTATCTACCTTTGGTGTGTGTTGGTTGTGTGCACTTAGCAATGGGGATTATTATACTATTATTACAGCTAAAATACATATAATTATTTGCGTCTTGTATTCATATTCAAAATCTTACAGGTATATCTATCTATTATTGACTTAAGGCAAATCCAACAGTTTAGTTAAAGAATTTTAATTCTAAAAATTGTAAATCCATTTATAATTCAACTACTGTAGAGTCGAAGTCTTCAAATATTTTAACCATTTAAGTGAACAAGACTGTCAAATGAATTTCTAAATCATTTTTAATAAATACAGTAGCCGCTTTAATATTTTTTTTTTTTACAGTTTTCAATGTAGAACTTTCAAAAACCGTTTTAAATTTGTCTATAAAACCATTAATGTTTGTAAATATAAATTATCAAAATCGTGAATTTAAATGTTATTTAAGGACTATTTGATATTATTATTTCTTACAAAGCACTAATATTATAACTCCGATAGAGTTTTAATTTCCGAGCGACTACCGTATGATATTGGAAAAATTTGTAACAAAAATAATTCGAGTTTCTCAGTTATGTGTATTAGATTGTTATGAAGTTCAACATCTAGTGATAAATAAACATAACAAGCACAACAATTGAAGCTTATCTATAGTGTTTAGTATAATTCACGTTAAAAACTGGTTTCAGCAAACAGTTTTTGGTAATTTGTAATGGCTCTTGCCCACATACATGGATCTTGTTAAACAAATTAGAGGAACGGTTACAGCTTTTAACAATTCAATAATTGTTTTTAGTAAAAGCGGTTAATATTAATATGTACGCACATAAAATTAGTTCGACGTGTGTGTTTTTAGTAGGAATTTATTTGTGTATTCGACCATTTAGTGCTTAAAACAAGAGATTTTCAGCATTGTAACTAATAAGAATATATCTATCTGTATTTGATATTGTTGTATCTTTTCATTCATAGTAACTCGTAAAATTAGGTTTGGTTAAATCGTGCCCAAGTTAGACGGGAAACGCGGCGATAAAGCGCACACTTTAGTTGGTAAGTTAAGTTTAATTATGAATAAGAAACAAGCTTACAATATACACGCCAATATACATAGACAAATATATGTAAGTGCAACACTCAATTAACTAATTTTCCATCTTAAGGCTACGTTATTCGGTTAAATGTGTGCGAGGACCACAAATGTGAACGGACGCGCCTTGAAATCCAATTGCGACCTGCGCTCTTTACAGATACAGACACAGATTATGATACTGATAATGATACACTGTTTTTGCAATTAGTGCGAGCTTAATAATCATAATTTGGTTAGGAACAGGAATTTTGGGAAATATAAAGAGAAAAGTTTATTTCTTTGTTTTTTTATTAGTGATCGCGCTTCATGCTGGAGGCCGCAGCTCTGACTGTGTTGTTGTGCTGTGCGATGTTGGTGGCCGCGAGTATTTCTCCGATATGGTGTACAATGAGATCAATGGCAACTGCAAGAAATACATTTTAACAACAGAAACGAAAACAACCAAAAACAAAAAGAGAAAGAACGGGAAACAAAAGGGAAAATGTGGAAAATAGATAATAACATCTCAAGCAGACTATCGTAGTAATTATGTAAGAATTTGGTTAATCAAACAGGAACAGAAAAGACCCAAAAGGAAAATTTATAACGTAAGCTATACATACACGTATATACAGAGAATAATTGAATTGAGTTGTAAACTAAACACTACAAACGCTAGCCAAGTGTGTGTGTGTATGTGTGTGTGTGTGGTGTTCTTTGTATATATGCGTGTAGATGGTAAATAAAATACGCAACTAAAGCAAAGCAAGTGTGTTTGTGCATCTTTCTCTCACCTGTATTATCTGCACCGCGCGGTATAATGACGTCAGCAAATTTTTTGGTCTGGAAAAGCGAATGAAGAAATTTATAAGCTGCATAGGCTAAATTTAGATGCTACACAAATTTACCGGCGAGCAAAACTCCTCGAAGGCGGGCTTTACAAAGGTCATGTACTGGGTGAGCACCGCATCCAAGTCCCTGCCACGCTCATTGATATCGCGTGGCACTGAAATATATATAGATAATATATACATATATATAACATCCTAGATAGTAAAAAAAACATTGTCTAAACATTTTAAAATGATTTAGAACCAGATTACAATTTGCAAGCTTCTATTAAAAACAAAAAGTAAAAGTTAAATAATAAATATTGTTATATACTGTATCTTAAATTATTTGAATTTTCTTGGAACTGTCGCGGATATTGGGTCAGCCTCAGTGTCAAAATTTAAAGTTTTCGGCAAGGATTTGACAAAATTGGAAACACGAAATTTTAAATAAAATTTATGACATTTCAAAGGACTTTTGTTAAATAATTAATCTTTCCTTTATATATGAGGTTATATATTATTATTGAGTTAAGTATTATTAGTATTGAGGTTCATTATTTGCGACCTTACAGATCAATTGTACATCCTTCTTCAATCGACCCCAACTCCAGCACGAACATAAGAATCTTTATCGGGTTGAGAGTTTCCATGTCTTCTGAGCTCGAGCATGCAGGATACTATATCTACACAATCTGCTAGGATTTGTTTTGAGATCTCTTCGTTTTCACCCAACCGACATAGTGCGCTTCTCAATACTAATACTAGATAGGTGACGTCTTAGTCTCCAATGCCCTGTCAATAGACCGGTGAGTATCTTAAGCCTATTCTTTCCCATGGTTATTAATATTTAAATCACTTAAAATTATAACCGCCCAAAATACATTTGGCTGGTTGGATAATATATTATTTATATATAATTTTAAATAACAAAAACACTTCCATACTATTATATTTAATTACGGATTTATGTTTTTTATATTATAAAATATATACTTACCGCGTCGCGCCAAACGCGTATCCGAATCGGTGTCTACAAAGAGCTTCATGTGAAACAGATCGCGAATTTTTGGAAAATAAAACACAAGGATGCCCTCGAAGAGCACCACATCAGCTGGATAAATGACGAGCTTGTTTTCAAAGTCACTGGGAAAAATCAATAAATGATGTCAAGCACAGACGGTGATCAACCACAAACCCAACCGAAATGTTTACTTACAGCGAATTTGTCCGATAATCGTAGCTGGGTATTTCGACTTTGTCACCCTTTAGGATGCGCTGCAGAGTGTTGTACATCTCCTCCTCGTTGAATGCGTCCGGATGGTCAAAATTGAACTTGCTCTTTTGGGCCTTCTGCTTCTCGGCCGGTGTTAGCTCGCGATAGAAACTGTCTTGGCTTATGGACACCACCTGGCGCTGTGTGTCATCCATTTCCGCTTGTCCCAGTTGCTCCATAATTTTCTTGCACACCGTCGATTTTCCGCTGGCTGTGCCGCCGGCAACACCGATAAGAAACGGAGATTTGACCTTACCATTAACAGCCGGATCGCCGTTATGCAAGCGTGTAGACTTTTTATTGTTTAAATCCGCCATTATCGCTCAAAATGCCCTGTGCATGTGGTAAGCAAACAATGAACCCAAGTTGAGATATTTGTTTCGTTGTCACATTTTCGACGCACATCTGTGTTAACAGGGCCGTTATAGCGTAATATTGTTAACATAATGTAATTAACAGCAGCCAACAGTGATGGCATTCCCACAAAATTTAATAATATTTAAGCATCTGAATTTCGATTATATTCCCCTTATTGGAGAATTTAATGAGTTTCATTCTTCGCAAAACATATTTAAATTCAATTTCTATTTCAATTAAACTTTTTTAATACATCATTTAAATTCAAATCATCTAAGTGATAAATGCTTATTGTTTACGGAAGTTGAAAAAGGAAGAATAATAATACAAGTAAAGAGATAGTGTGTGGAAAATTAGGGATTAAAAAGAAACATTAAATATAAGAAATCATTCTATTTAAACAAATAAAAATCTGATTTAGCAACTGTTCGCCTTTGTGTCTATGCAATGCAGACCTTTAGACAGAGTGGATTTCTATATCCATTCGCAGAAATATTGACAACTGTTTTAATGGCGAAATGGAAACCAGCTTTTCAGCAGAAATATAAATGTTTATAGTTTTCACTTGCATTATAAATAGTGAGGGTGCCATGGCTCTCAACACAATTCACAGCATTAGCTAGAACATTTAACACAACATGAAAGTCCTGATCCTATTGACTGCTCTGACAGGAATCGTTGTAGCTGTGGACTACTGTGCCCTGCCCACCTGTCTGGACAAGCACGTTGCCTGCAACAACAAGGGAGTAAGTAACGATGACCATTGAACCACTAGCTAAATAACAATGCCATTCGTTGCAGACCTTCAGTGAAGAGTGTCCCAAGGATGTGCGTGAGGTAAAGATCGAAATGCACCAGAAACTGATTCTATCCCTGCTCAATGAGCTGCGCAACAAAGTCGCTGGCGGCGCCATTGAGGGTCTGCCCAAGGCGGCGCGCATGGCCAAGATGTCATGGTGCGAGGAGCTCACCCACCTGGCCAAGTTCAATGTGAAGACCTGCCAATCGTTGCCGGACAAGTGTCGCAGCACAGAACGCTTCGCCTATGCCGGCCAGAACAATGCCATTTTCAGCTACAGCGGTGCCGAGTCCGAGTACACCGATGCAGAGATCATCAAGGAGCAAATCGAGAATTGGTTCAGCGAACGCTCGAACGCCTCTCCCGATATGCTCGCCAGCTTCCCCGAGGAGTTGCCCAACAAGAATGTGGCTAAATTCATTATTGCCATCTCCGAGAAGAACACACATTTGGGCTGTGCCGCTGTCCGTTTCTCCCGCGATTACTACAACCACTTTGTGCTCACCTGCAACTTTGCCACCACAAACGTTATCGGTCAGCCTGTCTACACTCCCGGCGAGAAGTCTGCCTCCGGCTGCAAGAATCGCTATGGCGCCGCCTTCGACTATCCTAATCTGTGCTATGCCAAGGAAATCTACGACAACGACAAAATCGTCTCCGAGATCAGACTGTTCTAAACTGTTCCTCAGGCCAACTGACCTTAGACAGACTAATACATCTAAACAGAAATGAAAATAAATCGCTGACGATTTGAATAAGAGTTGAGCATCTTTTACTTGGTCAACCATAGATTATTAATATTCACACTTGAGAATGAATCAAAAAGGTGCCTAATGACGTCTTTTTATACTCTGGTTTAATAACACACGGTGTATATAGTTGTGCAAATAGGTAGTAGAAATTGTGAGAATAAATCACTGAAGATCTAAATGACAGATGGGTTGGTGATACTCTGTTCCATTTAAATAGGGTATGCGCAGTTGTTGATATTTATATTATCTTAATTTGAAGTGTTTCAAACATATAATAATTTATTGATAGGTAAAAAGTATACAGCGTATTTGGCAGTCTGTCAAGTGCACATATAGCAGCCTTGTTTGAATTTCACAATATCCAAACATATTTCATCATTTCACACATTAAACGTGCCAATTTGGAGAATCATCTGAAAAGTTGCGAAAAACGATCAAATAAATATAACGAATTTTCAATTAAACTTAAATATTTGATTTTAATTGTATAACATTTATAAAGGAGGTATTCTTTTAACTATTAGACTGTACTATTCGACAGTTTACATTTCACGGTTCATTTTTTACCAAACCCGTACGCATTATCACAATCTTAGACAGGTACACAAAACATTAGCTTAATAATGCTCGTCGAAGCGAAACATTTTACAATTTATTGCAACTAATGTTTCCCATTCTTGGCTTACAGTACAGTGGTATATGCTAGGTGTAATAAATACGTTGTAATAAAATTTGTTTACATTTTTGAGTGTCGTCAAAGCCTCTGGCAATGTTTTGTTTTTGGATAGTTGGTGTCAGGGGAATTGTGCAGGCCAAATCAATCAAATTGTTTTTGCATTAATTAGTCAATGACTTCACACTAAAATACAAAATGAAAATGATTAAATAAAGTCAAACACAAAACAGCAGCTATTAAAAGAGAACGCCTTTCGTGTGATGTGTATGATTTGGACAGCAATTACAATTAAAGTACAAATACGGCTAAATTGAACTACATAAGTTAGTAAGGAGTAGGCATTACTTTTCCTTCGGCTCCTTTTCGAAAAGATACTCCTTGGCCATTTGATAGCCCAGGCCCAGCGTCAGGCAGCCCACAACGGTTCCCTGTGCGGCCACACGCAGTTGCATAAGGAACACACTGGTGCTCATCGTGCCGCGATTCCTGTACTTGTAGGCACCGATTAGACCCGCCGCCACGAAGCCAGCAATGCCTATAAGAGGAAATAAACAGATAAACATTAAACAGAAATAGGTGAAAAGTGCATTTCCTTTCTCAATGTACTGCTGCACAGTGCATCAAGCTAATACGAAAACTGCTATGCCATAGGTCTGTTGTTTCGGGTCAAACTTGGTATTTAATAGTCTTTTGAGACTAGAATAGGTAATATTATAAATTTTGAATACTCTATCTAAAGACTTTTACAAGTTTTAAAGTTATTCGACTAATATATTTTTTATTATATAATCAAAGATTTATATCTTTAAAATTGCATATATTACGTATTGTTCCACTGTGCGTCGTTTGGTTGCTAGCTCGGCCGCTGATAATCACCAGACAGCGACGACAGCTGACGCACCAATACCAACGCAGTACACGCGCCACGGAATACGTCATAGATGTGCTAACATACTCTTATTCATATACTCGATTAATTTTCCAAGTAACTGTTATAATGCTTAATGGGCACAGGGTGAGCAAGCCAAGTAATTATATCACAGCTTCTCGCACGTACACACTGACGTTAACCCATCAATTTGTGATGAAATTATGTCACTTGACTGTATGAATGTATATATGTATGTACGAATAGATGTATGTACGTATATGTGCATGTACATATATATATATATATATATATATGTACATCCGTTACAAGATCTACCTTGGATCTGAAATTCATTGCCAAGGTCAAAGCGGCACTCTCGTCCTTGCACATATACATACTCAGACACATGTGTGCGTGTGTGGGTAGGAAAGTTTTTCGTGACGTCAAATTGGCAGACATGATATTTTCCCGCTTATTCAGTTTACATTTAAATGTCTTGAAATACCCCAGTTACTTACCAACCAACATGAATGGCGATTCCTTGGCCTTGTTAGCGAATTTGTTAGCTTGCGCTGCATCTTCTTCGCTTGCAAAGAGTGATTTGGAACTCATGGTTTCGTTCGTTTGCAAAAATGCGTTCAATGTCAACAATGCGGAATTAGGTTGTTCTTCTGTGAGTGAACAATTGCTACTGAACCTGAACTGAATTTTATTTCGCGCAAGTTATCGATAACAAATCATAATAAAAAGACAAAATAGATGCAGACGGCAGTCGGAAGAAAGTGTGGCATGTATTAACTATTAGCACAAATTATTTATCAAGTAAATGTATATTATATATTTGTTAATATAATTTTTTTAACGTATGCTCTATCGAAAATTAAATGTTGATTTTGCAAGTTTATGTTTTTCGTAATTAGATTATAAAACATGAATGTTTCCAGAACGAAATAATTTGAATAAATGCTAATTTTAATTTCATTCTCACAGAGTTTATTCAATGAAATGAGCATAATAATTTTCCAACACTAACAACAGTGTGACCGCAATATGCAAAAGGAAAATTACGCCAACAGCTGAACATTCTGCCATGACATAAGAAGCGAACGTTCGTCCAGAGGGGAGAAACGACGTCGAATGGCCGTAGCCCCAACACAATTTTAGATTAGTTCAAGATTTCTGACTCAAAGTGCTAACATATACACAACGAACGCAGCAGCAGCGAATAAGCGACACGACAACAAAGCAAAATGACGGGCATCATTTCGATATTAACAAGGCAATTGCCGCGCAACATGCAAAATGCTGGCCGAAAAGCTGTCTTGGGTCATGAAGTAAGTTTAAGCAGGAGTCTGTTGTTCCTCTATCAGTCTACACCTACACCTATACCCACACATACCCAAACACACACACGCACACATGGAGTCTCACGTGAATTTGGATTAGTTACGTTTGCTGGCTGCTTAAGCAGTCCGCAATGCGATTATGTAATAGAGAAAATGTTTGCAATGCATTCGCAAAATGCGTGGCACTGCCACGCCCCCTTTAACAAATCACGAAACGATCCAGCATATACCCGTTGCTGCCTTTCCGATTGTGCAATAATTAAGTTTTCCTAAAAAATCCTAACTCTTCGGCATCTTCAGCTTCAGCTCAGCGCCCGTCAGTATTCCCAGCTGGCTGCTGTTGTCGCCGTTCAGCAGCAGCAACAGTTGCTGTGTCGTGAGATGAATCCTACTCTGCGCTGCCAAGATGCGATGCGGTAAGAATGTCATCATCAATCATAAGTAATCTGCATTGTTAAATATCCACATACTCTTCTCTTTGAAACTGCAGGGCCTTGGGCTGGCAAAGCTTTCACACCACCAGCAGTATGTGGTCGGAGCAGGTGGTGAAGGTGCCTCCATTCGCTGACTCCATTACGGAGGGTGACATTAAGTATGTTAACACTACAATGAAAGAGGTGCCACTTTGTGGGGGGCCTGTTGTATATTTTGCTGATAGCTTATCGGACAAAATCTAACTTTCCTTATCGCCATGAATTATACATTTTAGATTCACTTGCAAAGTGGGCGACTCGTTTGGTGCCGACGAGGCCGTCATGGAGATTGAAACGGATAAGACCACTATGCCAGTGCCGGCTCCGTTTGCCGGTTCAATTACGGAAATTCTAATCAAGGATGGTGACACGGTTAAGCCCGGCCAAGAGCTCTTCAAAATGAAGCCTGGCGCCGCTCCAGCCAAGTCAGCTAGTGCGCCGGCCGCAGAAGCGCCTAAGGCTGCGGCCGCTCCGCCACCACCACCCCAGCCAGCAGCTGCCCCAGCGGGAGCACCTGCACCAGCTGCGCCAAAGGCACCACCACCACCGCCACCTCCACCAGCAGCACGTCCGCCACCGGCGGCACCCCGTGCTGCTGCACCGTCGCCGGCGGCCATTAGGCCTGCTGTGGCTCAGGTGAAAGTGCCGCCAGCGGATGGCACCCGTCAGATTTTGGGCACACGCTCCGAGCAGCGTGTCAAGATGAACCGCATGCGTCAAAAGATCGCAGCGCGCTTGAAGGATGCACAGAACACGACTGCTATGCTGACCACTTTCAATGAGATCGACATGAGGTTAGCTGGCATTATTTGCCTCTCGATTGTTATTCACTCTGTTGCTAATGCTTTAAATCCCTTGTTGCGACAGCTATGCGATGGATTTCCGAAAGGCGAACCTCGATGCCTTCGTCAAGAAATACGGCATCAAGCTGGGCTTCATGTCCATCTTCTCGAAAGCCAGTGCCTATGCGCTGCAGGATCAGCCTGTTGTGAATGCTGTCATCGATGGTCAGGTAACCCATTTCACTTAGTCACTTGTGACGCTTCTGTTTATCACCTTATCACACTATTTGTATTTTGTTTATGCAATTGGCCAACGCTTTTTTGGCCCATCTGATAATCAATTGATAAGACGCGTCATCAGACCGGCGCAGACAAATGATATGAAATTGTTTTCGTCGGCACTCAGTTGTTTGCATAAATGCAAAGATAAACTTAATTAAAATTAAACAATTCGAACTAAATTGATACTTTAGAATCTATATGTTAATGTTTGTTGATCTTAATAATTATTTATATAATAGTCTATTCTAATCTGCCGAATTGGATTTGACAATTCAGCCTGCGCTTCGATATCAATATTTAAAGGTTTACGAACCTTTCCTTAGAACATTTTTTTTCGAAATTTGAACCAGTTTTAAGCTGTGTCTCAACTGCAGACCACCTGTTCCAGTTTTAATCAAACAAAGCAAAATTGTAACCAGTTTAACTTTGTTAATATAAATATACTGCGTAAGCATAGTAATCTTTATTTTTAATGACTTACTGTTGATATCAATAATAATTATAATATTTCCTTAGTTTAAATATAAATTGTATTAACCTTTACGAATGATTGAAATCAGTGATAAATCATTATAATTAATAGAAATAGTTAAAAATTTTATTTAATAATCGATTATACACAGTTCAACTATGTTTGGCAATGCAGCTTAAAAAACAATTTCTTAATATGAAGATAAGTTGATAGATTACATGTATTTCATGCTTAGCTTATCATTTTAATCTTTCTTCTATGCAGGCCTATCAAATTTAATATTTATTTTCCATTAACGATGTGTGCAGAAGATAGAAATGAAATGTATAATAGACCTTGGTTCTCGGCGATTCTTAAAGAAAATCATCTAAAATTGCACAATTATAATTTCGTATTCTGTAAGCACTAATTGTAATTTGTGTATTTTACAGGACATGGTGTACCGCGACTATGTGGATATCTCAGTGGCTGTTGCCACGCCTCGTGGCCTGGTTGTGCCTGTCATCCGCAATGTGGAGAGTATGAACTATGCGGATATTGAGATAGCGCTGGCCGGTCTCGCCGACAAGGCGAAGCGCGATGCCATTACCGTGGAGGATATGGATGGTGGCACCTTTACCATCAGCAACGGTGGCGTCTTTGGATCACTAATGGGCACGCCCATTATTAATCCACCACAGAGTGCTATTCTTGGCATGCACGGTATCTTTGACAGACCCATTGCTGTCAAGGGCGAGGTAAGCGACTTGTTACTTCGTTTATCTCAAATGTACTTACTTAATTCTATATGGATTGCAGGTCAAGATCCGCCCCATGATGTATGTGGCTCTGACATACGATCACAGGATCATCGATGGTCGTGAGGCGGTGATGTTCCTGCGTAAGGTGAAGGCTGCCGTTGAGAATCCAACCATCATTGTTGCCGGTCTGTAAGGACAGTCACGATTGTTAGCGCTGCGTCCACGTTGTTCTACTGATATTATCGAATCGGCAACCTAAAACAGAAGCACATCTAAATTATTTGTATAAACCAGAACTTTTCATTGTGTGTATTTAGTATAAAAAATTTACGAGTGTCACAAATCAAATCGACTTAATTTTCCTTTTGACTATATATATACACGACCCAAATAAAATTACAATACGACGTGGAATTGTTTTCAAAACGTACCCAAAGCTAAATTATTTTCTGCACGTAAATCAACTTATGTAAACAGCACTAGCTGTAAGCCAATATCGTAAATAAATACGATATCGTTATCAAAACCCGATCAACCTTCTGATTGCTGTTTCCTCTGTGACTGGTTGCTGAGTGGGAGCTTTATGAAAATCACATGTTTTGTTTGTAATTAGCATTTACAATATTTACTTAGCCAATATGATAAGTGTGTTCTCAAATATATTTGATAAACTCCTTAATTGCCTGCAAATATACAGAAAGCGTATTTTGGACATGGGTGCGATGGATTTAGATGGAAATTGATATGCGGAAAATGTGACTGGGAAAGTAATTGAATTAAATCAATTTTGGCTGCGCACATTTTTGTTGATGATTGATGTATGCTGTATGCATGTATGATGTATGCATGTATGCATGTATGATGTATGCAAAAACACACAAGACCCAAAAATTATGTTAACTGATACTGGTAAAATTCTTCTGGCAAGATTAAAACTGATGCTCAATGTAATTAATTATTTAATTTATGCATGAATCCGCATCTGATTGCTGGGCAGTGTGTCTTCTAATTAATTGTATACAAAATTATAATGATAATGATAAAGGCTTAAATTAACTATTTTTTTTTTTATATTTACATATATTATGGGCATGTCAATATATGTATATGTGGGTATGTCAAATAAGTCATTGCTTTTATTCAAAGTATTTATATCGCAGATTTAATAGAGTTTATTTTCTGCTAGTATTATTATGATTATTATTAGCTATTTTTGAATGACCAACCTTCCAATAAAGAGAACAATAAAAAAAATCAGCTTAAAGCAGAAATCGAGTTTGCTTAGCAAAATCTCTAGCATAAAGTAAAGAAATTGTAAGATTTCGGCATAATCTCATCTGCGATAAAAAGAAAGATTCCACAACAGAGAGGATGTGTGTCTTTTTCCTTTTACGTAGACCTCTACTGCGTTACGTGCAATACATTGATCCAAAAGTCTTACGAATTCGGAAAGTAAGTACAAATTGAAAATCTTGATTAGAGTTAGCAAGGTTGTTGGGAACTGGTTATGCGGGGGCGGTATTTTGAACTTGTCTCTTTGACTCGCTAGTCTAAAACTCTTCATTTGCTCAATTATTAAGTTTCTTTAACTAATGCCAACTGCTCCGCCTGTCCCCATCCTAAACTTCAGCTTCAGATTCAGCTCAGTCAGTATTCCCAACTGGCTGGTGTCTTAGCCGTTAATCAGCAGCAACAGTTGCTGCGTTCGAAGGAAAATCCTAATCTGCAGTGCCACGATGCGATGCGGTAAGAATGCCATTAACAGCTTGGATAAATAGTTGAATATTGACATTCCCTTCTTATTTTCTTTGAAACTGCAGAGCCTTGGGCTGGCGAAGCTTTCACACCACCAGCAGCATGTTGTCGGAGCAGGTTGTGAAGGTGCCTCCATTCGCTGAATCCATTAGTGAGGGTGACGTTAAGTAAGTCTCTCTTAAAATGACTTCGTGTTGCATATGATTTCATTGCTTGGCTATTCTCCAGGTTCACTTGTAAAGTGGGTGACTCGTTTGCTGCCGATGAAGCCGTCATGGAGATTGAAACGGATAAGACGACGATGCCAGTACAGGCACCCTTTGCGGGCTCTATAACAGCGATTCTGGTCAAGAATGGGGACACTGTCAAAGCTGGCCAGGAGCTCTTCAAAATGAAACCTGGCGCGGCGCCAGCCAAGGCAGCAGCTCCATCAGATGCAGCGACCGCACCAGGACCAGCTCGAGCACCAGCACCAGTTCTATCATCAACTCCAGCACCAGCCCCGCCGCCAGCTGCGCAAACTGTGGCCGCACCAGCACCATCCCCACCGCCGCCAGCAGCAGCTGCAACAGCCGCCCCGAAACCTGCACCCGCCGCGGGGCAAGTGCCTCCTATTGTGGGCACACGCACCGAGCAGAGAGTCAAGATGAGTCGCATGCGTCAAAAGATTGCGGCTCGCTTGAAGGAAGCTCAGAACACGTGCGCCATGTTGACCACCTTCAATGAGATCGACATGAGGTTAGCTGACATTATTCTGACAGCTTAGATAATGGCATCATATATCTAATCTGTCTACTTTAATAGTTTCGCAATGGAGTTCCGAAAGGCGAACCTCGACGCATTCGTTAAAATGCATGGTGTTAAGCTCGGTTTCATGTCCATTTTCTCAAAGGCCACCGCAATTGCTCTGCAGGATCAGCCAGTGGTTAATGCTGTCATCGTTGGACAGGTAAACTAAGATACAGATCATCAATCGTAACGATTTTGTTTCTATTCCTATCAAAAATGTATTGCTGTGTTTCCACTTTCTTTGAATAACTTGTTATTCTTATGAATAATATTTATTTCTACCGAAATTGCATAATTTTTAGCTTTGCCAACGCAAAAAAGACCATAAAGGACTCAAAAGTTAAAGACAGCTAATGATTCATCGGGTGAATCAAATTATTATTGTATAATTCTTTGAATTGGGCTTAAAAAAGAACGAAAATTTAATATACGGCTACAATTATATTGTTCCAAACTTTATTTCTAATATGAAAAAATATTGTTAATAGTTTGGAGACTTCTTTTTGTAATTTCAATATGTATTTAGTAATTAATTGTTAACTAAAATCTTTTAATATGTAATTTTTGTCAATTTTAACCAATTTCAGCTTCACATAAAATAGTTCAACAAATTTTTAACAATAACTAGCATTTTGAATATGTTGTATTGAATCAAATGCGTCATTATAAGCATGTTCCTCCTATTTTATTTAATAATTAAATTACTTTTCAGGAGATTGTGTACCGCGACTACATAGATATTTCAGTGGCAGTTGCCTCACCACGTGGCCTCCTTGTGCCTGTGATACGTGGTGTAGAGAGTATGAAATACGCCGATTTTGAGAGAGCCCTGGGTGATTTGGCTGCTCGGTCACAGCGCGATGCCATCACCGTTCAGGATATGGAGGGTGGCACTTTCACCATCAGCAACGGTGGTATCTTTGGGTCTCTAATGGGCACTCCCATTATTAATCCACCACAGAGCGCTATACTCGGCATGCATGGCATCCTTGAGCGTCCCATTGCTGTCAAGGGAGAGGTGGGAATTTTAACTGCATGTCCTTGACCAATTCATGAACTTGTTATATATACTATAGGTCAAGATACGGCCCATGATGTATGTGGCCCTAACATACGATCACCGGCTCATTGATGGACGTGAGGCGGTGATGTTTCTGCGAAAGATCAAGTCTGTCGTTGAGTCACCCAGTGAACTGGCTACTGGCCTCTAAAATGCTTATAGACTATTTGTGTATGTGAAGTTATCTGAATTACAATTCCAAGCATAAGCAAAGCAGAGCTAAATTCTTGGTATGAAGTGGACGCAAAGTTGGGATCTTATATCTGATTTTACTGAAAAGCTTAAGCCCAAAATATTGTAATTTTAAAAAGGACGCGTCTAATAATATTAAAATTCAAATATTTATAAATATATAATTATTAAATATGAATATTCGGAATATGCTGCATTTGGAATAAGACAGTATATGGATATAGACAGTGACTGTGATGTAGAAATGTTATAGTATTTTTAGTTACCTGTCTATTTAATTTGTGCATCTGAAATCATAATGCAAAATACTGCAAAAGTTTTTTTTGTGAATAAAAATATCATGTTATAGTTTTGTTATTTGAGCAAATTGGCTTGTACAATTTTATTGATTTTGTTTTTGTTTGCGATAATTAGATACCAACTATTTCTAATGTTTACAAAATGAGTGTGTGTTTACAAAAAGATATTTTAAAATAATATGGTGTTTACATTAGAATTTATACGAATTTTGTGTTCGTTTTTGAATGGGATTTGGGGTAAATCTTGATTTTTTTGGCTTACTTATACAGAAAGAATGTTTGTTTTTAGATCCATCAAAGAGATTGATTAACACAGTTTTTTTTTGTTCGTTATACTTTTGCTAACTTTTGCTTATCACATATGTATGTATGTATATATGTATGTATTTAAAAATGTAAACCGAAAGAACTGAGAACATTTTGACCTATTTGATTGTAATATAATGTTGGGAGTAAGTCGAAAATAATATTAAAACCATTTATAATATTTCATTAATAATATGTATGCTTGTATGTATATAAAAAATGCGACAATCCTTTCGTCTAAAACATTTTGCACAAGATCGTGCAAAATTAGAAGAATTGTCATTTTAGACAAAAGGATTGGCATTATCTACATTTTAGTCCCATGGTGTTCTGTTTTTTTTGTTTTCCTTTTTCTTTTTTGTTTTTAGCTTAACTAAGGGGATACAGAGTGTAGTTACATTATTTAATTTATAGTTAAACATAAGAGTATTTCTTCCAAAAAAAAAACTATGAAAGAGGCCTATGCTGTATGTGCTTGTTCAAGCTTATATTTGTTTATTTTGTTCGTTTCTTTTATTTGGTTTACTTTTGTGTTCTACTTTTGAACTAACTTGGCTAACACTATGTTACCCTGGTTTTGGGTCTTGCACTTGTCTTCCCGCAAGTACAACACTCTCAAGTCTAAGCAATTACACTAGGTATCCCCAACCTTGTGTCCGAAATGTTGTTTTTTACTGATTTCTGATTTTCCTTCTTTTTTTTTGTTGCTTTAGTTGATTGCCTTTTGAATTTGTTTTGAATTTGTTTCTGTCTCTCTCTGTATAGATCCTATGCTATAATATTAATTTTTTCTTTTTAATGATTTTCAATAGAAGTATTGTACAAGATTCCATTTGCTACAGTGGGTTGTTGTGCTTGCTTCTCTAGATGATTTTGCAGATTTCCAAAATGCATATAACGTTTCCTTTTTTGCTTGCCAATAACTAAACAGTTTTCAAGTGGTGTTGTTGTGTGTAAATAAGAATCATAACTAAGTTTTCAGTCAACATGTGAATGGTTTGAATTTGAATTTGTCAGCATAGCTGTCTGCCTTTTTCTTGCTTGAATTTTCATAGATGATTTTGCTTTTTACTGCTGCTGCTGTTGCTGCTTTTTTGGCTTCGGCTTCAATGTTGTCGTTGTACAAGTCGGAAATGTGTAATTTCATAAAGAAAGACGGTTTTTGCTTATGTGTTGTTGTTGTTGTGTTTGCTGTTGCTGCTGCTGCTGCTGTTGTTGTTGCTGTTATTGTTGTTGCCAAGTCTCTGGGTGGTGAGTTGTTAGTCTGTTGATGGTTATGCTGCCGCTTGGCCAGGCAACTTTTGCAATGAATTTATAAATCAAAATTTTCTGTCTAGTGGTCGCTGGAGTTTGGATGTTGGGTGTTGTATGTTGGATGTTGGGTGAAATAGCTTCTGCTTGACTGCCACCCCACTGACAGCCATATTTTATTTATTGATAGCAATTATGTCTCGACCTCGTCTATTGCCAGTAGTTTATATAAATTTACAGTTTTGTTTGATGTGCTTTCAACTGCATGATAGTGACTGAATATGTTTTTTGTTGCTGTTGCTGTTGCTGTTCGAACTTTTGCAAAAGAAACCAAACCTAACCACAATTTGAAATGGGGTCTCTCTCTCTCTCTCTCTCTCTCTCTCTCTCTCTCTCTCTATTTCTCTGGAGTGAGTATATTGATGTGTTGCCTGATATATGTGTTAAAGCTGTTGCTGCTGGTTGTGTTTTTCATGTTGTTGCTTTTGATTTTGTTGATGATTTGGATTTTGTATTAGATTTCGGTTAACTGGCTGTGTGTTTTTGTCTTCGCTTTTGTCAGGCGCAAGTAATGCGCTCTGAGGTCTTTTAAAATCGCTTTTATACTATTCAAAGTTTATACAATTTTGAGCTATCCAAAAATCTTTGGCTTTTGTGGCTTTCCTGTGTGTGTTTTATTTTTGGTGTATGTGTGAGGGTTTTGGCTTATGAATTTGGCTGCTGAACTTATTTTCAATTTCAACCCCTTCTATGCGAAAGTTTTTACTATAATCGTGTGCCTCTTGTTGTTTTTGTTCTGAATTGTTTTGTTCGCGTTGATTTATCTGCCTTGTCCTATTTTTGTGCCTGTGAGAAGGCCGCCATTTGTAAGATTTTGCCAGAAAGTTGCCAGGACAATTGCATCCTTGTCGTCTTGCCAGCGCTTGCTTTTTTGGTGCCCTTGTTTTATTATTATTATTACGAGTATTTTACTTTTTTTCTTTTTGCTCTTGACTTTTGTCGCATTAAAACTTCCGTTGCTTCTTGTAATTTATAATGGTGCTTTTTGGGAATTTCGTTGTAATTTGTCATCCTAATGTGTAATAATTATGCGCCAAAAGGCTTCCGAATGCTGCGACTTTTCAGTTAATTTGACTTGGTTTTTGGAATTTTGTATTATTTGCTGGCGGCTTTTGGCGATTATTGTTTTTTTTTTTTATATATCTTTTGCTACACAGTATCAAAATGCCAAGAATTTAGATTTGGTATTTTGTATCTCGCATATTGTGATTTGGATTATCTTGAGTATTTTTACTTTTTAATTTCTTTTGATTTCGAATTTAATTTATTTTTATGCAGATTTTGAAGGCTCTAATTTAAAATTTACCTACAGAAATGTAATATTTGAATGCTAGAATTTGGAGGTTAGTGATTTTGAATTTTGTGGTCCGGTTTGCGGTGAAATTTTGTTGGATTTGGTTGCTTGCCAGAGTAGCCGAAAGTTGCAAATTTTGATTTCTTTTGACTTTTCGAGTTCTAAAATTAAATAATTTTTATAAAGTATAGTTATTAAATGTTTCTAATTTACATTTTTTATGGTTTTTACAATGGTTGCGCAATTTGAGACTAATTCTTCGTGTTGTACTTGAAATTTTTTTTATGAATGAAATATACACTTTTTCGAATCAGTCAATTTTTGTCAGATTTCTTTTGTGGAATCTAGATTGTTTTGTTTTTCTAATTTAAAAATGAGTAAATTTGTATATTAATAATTTTTAAAGTTAAAATTGCATATTGTTTATGGTTATAACTATTTTTTTTTACGATTTTGATATGCCACAAAGATTGGCCAGAGTTAAAAATAAATTTTAAGGAATGTAAGCCAAGCATTAATTTAAAGGTTAAAAATATATTTACAATTGTTTTGTCAAATTTGTCAATTTGAATCAAAAAATAATTTTTTTTATGGAATTTAAAAGTTGAAAATATTTAAAAGTGATATTTGTTACAAAACAATATATCTAAAGATTGAAATTTCATATTCTGATTACCGTTTGTATTTAAAAATATTTTGGATGGTCTAATCAAAACGAAAATTATTCGAATGAATTTCTTTGGTTTGTAAAAAGACACTAGTCAACATGGCACTCAAAATTTAAAAAACCGAAGCATTTTTTGTAAAATTTAAATTTTTTTCTAATGCCCAATAGTTGTATTTGTTTACGAGTAACCCAATTTTTTCAATCAATCAATTTTAAAATGTTTGAAATTTGAACAGATATAGTAATGTTTGGAAATAGTAAAAAAAATTAATTTGTGTGAAAGAGGAATTTTTAAGAACCTTTTAAACATTTTTAAAAGAAAATGAGATATGAAACGAAATTTGTACAATTTTGAAATTAAAATTTAAGCTAAATTGCAATTTGAGGTATATTTTGTAATTTAAACCTATTTGTGACTGTTTGATTTGGAACCAGATATGTTTTCGTTTTTGAGATGAAGTGAAGGAATTGCGTGTAGTTCTACGATTTTGAGAAGCTATAATATTATCATTGTGACTTTAGTAATGAATTTAGAGTAGTTCAGGAAAATGTTTTCAAATAAAAGTTATTATATTGTTTTTGTGAATTTGGCATGGTTCAGAAAAAATATGTTCAAAAGGATATTTATAATATTATGCTTGTGAATTTTAGTGTGTTATAATATTATTTTTGAATTAGTTTAAATGTGACTTTTGATATTTTTTTTTAAGTTTAAACAGATTATGTTTTTTGAAAATTTAAGTTTTTTTTTTTTTACTGAATTTGAAGTCTATATATGCTGATTAAAATCAATGAGTGAGAATTTGTATGTCGATTGGCAATTTCTTAATTTGTTTTAGGTTGATATGATTGCGTAATTTGAATATCAGTCTAAAATGGATTTTGATTAAAAAAAAACTTTTTACAAATTTAAAAATAATTTGTATTATTAATTAATGGTTAGAAATTAACTTGGTTAGCTTCATGTTAAATTCAAATTCCTGATTGATTTGAAGATGTGTGGAATCTTGCGATTTGATTTTAAATTTGATTAATGTATAAAAAATTTCGATGCTAATTTTCATCTTCGGCATGAGTATTATTGGCAGTTTTGATTTATAGAATTGATTTTGAATTGTGATTATAGATGTTAATTTTGTGAATATATAGCGTATTTTGTTTCTTATAGTTTTGCGTTATGTATAATATTTTCATTGTTTGATATTTTTAAGGCAGTTTGATAATTATCTGAAGTGTTTAGTTGTGA